CCCCAAAACCCCAAAACCCCAAAACCCCATGAATATAAATTCCAATAAATCTTAAAGCAAATTTAATAATTGAAATTTAGGGTTATATATTGTTATGTTTAGTTTATCACTAATTCTATTTCTTTGGTTTGATAAGGAGGTCTTTAATGATATCTATTTTATCCTTTACATTGTTATTTAGCATTTCATATTTTTCGTCTGGTTCTTTAAGTGAAGTATTCTGATGATTATAAAGATTCTTTTTATGTTTATACCATTGATTCCAGATCTAGAATTGATATATTCTGGATTTACAATAACTTTTGAGATTAACTCCACCAAAGACTAAGAACCCATCGCTTCTTGCTGATCCATTCATGGTCAATATGTGAGACCACCTTGAGCAAGGCATCTATCCATACATTGCTAGCACTTGCCATTCCTTTTTATTCACATTAAATATGCAGATATCATTCATCGCAACATTTTGAGTTTTAGCAAATAATCCGTCATTCCTCCCTCCATAGATTACTAATAGGTTATGATTATTCCAATCTTTGAATAATGTAGCCTAGTGCTAGATCCTTGGACAAGGAGGTTTACCTTTAATATCATCGATCTTTCTGATATTTATAGCTAGTGTTGGCTTCGTTACATATTCAAAGGTATTTGGATTTAGATTTTTTTGATTCTCGTCATAGAATGGCTCTATTAGCCATAGATCATTTAATGCATGATTTTGTTAGTTCTATCCTCCGAAGATATAAATACCCTCATCAAAATTTTTATACTTGTTGCCATGATTCTCATCTTCTTCAATAGATGGCCTCTTATGCATCCAGATAAACTTTGAATGCTTCATCTGTGGGTTTTCCCTATAAAAATCTGTATCTACGACAGTAGTAGCAGAATGCATTTATCTGAATCCTAGGATATTTTCGGAAAATTCATCATAGGCCTAAGTTTTATCGTCTATTCTTTCTCCTTCGAAATAGACTCTTCCTGCGAGCCACTTTAAATTTTCCATATCAAACAAACCAAAGTCACTTAACACTTTCTTAGATTCAGTGTTAAAACCTCCTTGAACAATCATTACTGGCCCAATCGATCCACAAATGTGATTTTGCCTTTTCTTAGGAGCCCCCTCAATATCTGGTTCTTTAAGCCAAATTTCTTTATCCATATCAAAGACTTAAACGTCATTGAAACTAAGCCTCATTTTTATAGAGGCAATATAAGGACCAGCACCCCCAAAGATGAATAGTTTATTGCCATATTAAGTCATGGAATGAGCAAATCTTTGGTGAGGAGCCTAGCTTGGTCTTACTAATCTCCACCTTTGAGTATGAAGATCAAATACTCTCATATCATTGAATAAATCTCTTGAAAATCCTCCGAAAATGTAGAGATTATTATCCACCATAATAGCAGTAGCTCCTTCTCTAGAGTCAGGAATGGATCCTTATTATCCCAGAATAGACCACATTCCATATACCAATTTTTTCTTATCTAGCTGTTCCCTGCAGGTTTTTAATTAATTTAATAGATTTGACTCAATCTCGTTATAACTGTGATGCTCCTACTGCTATTGCTATTGCATTGCTGCTTTCACCCTTAAAGAACCAGGAGTAGTATCATTAAAACTCATTATTTTTTTAGAATCAAGCCTGTTCACAAGTGTGTCAACACTACCTGAAAAGACTGGATTAACAGCCTTTATTAATCTATTGTATGCTTATTATAGCTCATCAATGCTTAAATGTATAAACTCCTTTAATTCCATATTTAAAAAATCCCTTTCATTATCATCAACCTCTTTAATGTATAATATGGTCTTTTACTGATTAGCTTCTCTTTTAGCTTAGACTTCTCTTGAACTAAAGTCATTGTCTAAAGCCATTGACGTTGGCTTTATGTTCATAGAGAATTGATCATTCTTTATGGTTCTTTTTCTTTGAATCTACCTGAAAGCTGGAGAGTTTTTTATGAGATCATTTGAAATGTAATCTTCAGTCTCCTATCTTTTCATTTTCTTCACCTCATTTACTTGATCTAAGTCTATTTTCAGAGAATCCTCATTTAATTTGAATTTGCTATTCAAATCTTTACTTTCATAACCACTACTATTGTTATTCATCATAAAAGAGTTGTTTTGTGACGGATTTGTTTCAAATTTATTTAACTTAATTTCATTATCCTAAGTATCAATATGAAAATGATACAATCCATAGTTACTCTATTCGAGTGTAGTATTAGGATATCCCTTGTAGCGCAAGAAATTCCTGAGTTTATTCATAGCTCGATTGTACATAACCTTTTACTCGCTATGCTTATTTTTAATAAACATCTTTGATGAATCTACCAAAGAATCTGTGTTTTCTAGTATACTGTCCTTCTCTACTCTTTATTATGATTTTCTATGATTACTTTGCTTCTCTGGGGACTCTTTGAGAAGATTTGGTAAAACATTGATCTTTGTGGAATTCAAGTTCACACTCTTGTTTAACTAGGATCCTCGATCTCTCTTTGATTATTTGAAATCTTAACTAATTCTCATCTCCTAGATCTTCTAATTGCTAATTCTAAATTAAGTTAAAATATCTCCTGAGATCCTTGTGGCTCTTGATTGATTATTTTAATGGAGCAGTTCATCAATCTAGACAAAATTATTGTGATGAGTAGTGTGAGGATTAGTTCCGTAAAATGAAGTGTTGTAACTTTTTTATCTATGATGAATATTAATCGAACCCCTTGCCTGATTCAGCAAAACCTATTTATTTGATTCGACAATAGATTAACTTCTTAGAGACCCTACAAGCTACTACTACTAGTGTCTAATTAAGTTAGCTTGCTCTTTGTAGTTCTAGTTATCAACAGCTTTTGAGCAATTAATTGAAATGAGTAACTGGTTTTACTTCCTATTTTCATAAAATAGCTTGCGACTTGTCATGTTTTCTCGAGCTACTCCTCCTAATGACTACCCACCTCTGTAAGAGTAGTCTTTGGATTCATTTTCAGGAATATCTTCTAGTAATAGTTCCTAATAAAGCAATGACTTCTCTGGTTAGTAGTCATTTAAGGGTATATTAGTTAACTCAATAGAATTACGATCCATTTGAAGCTTCGACATGTTTAATTTTTTAATTATTTCTTCTAATTTTAATTAAATTCAATACAAAGTCCATTAAAACTGGTTTTACTCTAATTTAATCATAAACTTTTAAGGTAATCTCTTGTAATACTTTCCACGAATTTTAATTTTAAGTTATGCTCTAACATTATTTAATGAATTATATGTTAAGTTAATTAATAGTTATGATTTAACACAATTATGTCAATCTTGAAGTGAAAAAAACGAATAGTTCTAATATATTAATACTGACATTACTTTCTTGCTGCCTATATTTAAGATCAAAAGATTCTGCAAGTCGACCCAATTTAGCAGCCACAGCTTACATTCTTATCATCTTCTATCTGAGGCATCATCTTAGTATAATCCCATTCTATGTCTTAAATCTTTATATCTGATACATTAAATTTGAATTTCAATGGACTAAAGATGTTCTTTTTTAGAATCCAATCAATGTCTTTTTCTCTGCCTGGATCTCTAGCTTCCCCTATTGCCTATAGCTCCTCAATTCTTTATGACTTGGTTTGTTTCTCTTTTAAGCAATAGAAGTGACCAGTGTCTAAATCAGTTAATATAATGTACTCATCTAATACAACTATCGACTTAACTATAGAAATTATGTCCGAGCTATCAAACCCAGGAATTTTTTTATCATTCAGAAATTTTATTGCCTATATCTTAGTGTACACTAAACACTCAATCCACAGTTGATATTCTTTACAAATTTCATCTTTCTTCCCTGTTTTTAGTAATGCTCTAAATACCAAAGACTGATCATGCAAATAATGACCTTGAAAATATTCACATGAGGCAATTAGACCATTCAAGTTATCAATTGCTTGCTGATAGTAATCATAACTTATAGAAAATGCTACTCTCTCTGCAACTCTATCAATAGTTGTGGAAACAAAAGTATCTAATATGTTGTAAAATAATGCCTCATCGAACTCTAACTCTCTAATAGCTGATTTCTTGTTGATAATTTATCTACTATTGTCCAAATTCTCTAAGTTCTTGCTGTTTAAGTCTTACATTTAATTTATTTTTTATTGCTAAAATTTATCGATATTTTTATTTTATTATCGTACCTCTAAATTATAGATCTACCTTGTGGGGTTTTGGGGTTTTGGGG